TGCTTTCAAGAGTGGTTGGACCATTTTGCAATCCCACCAGCAATGCAGGAGCGTCCCAGTCTCTTTGCATCCTCACCAGCATTTATTGTCCTATACTATTTTGATCTTTGCTGTTATTGCTGGTGTGAGGTACCTCGTTGTTTTGATTTGCATCTCTCTAATGGTTGCTGCTAACCTCAAGGTTGGCAGTTCAAAACTACCAGCTGTTCGCAAGAGAAAGATGAGGTTTTCTGTTCCTATAAAGATTTATAGCCTTGGAAACCCTATGTAGGGTGGCTGTGAGTCGGAACCGACTCCACGGCATATCACCACCATCACCACCAATGGCTAGTGACCGTGGACATTTCTTCATATATTTGTTGGCTGTCTGGATCTCTTCCTTGGCGAAGTGTCTGTTCATATCCTGTGCCCATTTTAAAATTGGGTTATTTGTCTTTCTCTTGTAGAGGTGTTGTGGTTTCCTATATATTTTAGAAGTTTGTCCCTTGTCTGATGTGTCTTTGCAAAAGATTTTTTCCCATTCTGTGGGTTCCTTTTTTTACTCTTTTGGTGAAGTCTTTTGATGCACATAAGTTTAAAATTTTTAGTATGTCCCAATAATCTATTTTGTTTACTTTTGTTTGTGTAATTTTCAAAATGTTTGGTAGTCTGTGTATTCCCTGAATTCGTGCCCTCACATTTGTCCCGATTTGTTAATTGATGGCCTTCATAATTCTGGGATTCACATTTAGTTTTTAATCCATGCTGAGTTGGTTTTTGTATAAGGCGTGAGGTGAAGGTCTTGTTTCAGTATTTTGCATATCGCTTTGTAGTTCTGCCAGCACCACCTGTTGAAGAGACTATCACCTCCGCATGGCATATATTTAGGCACTTTGTCAAAAATCAGTTGGCTGTGTGTGGATGGGTAAATTTCTGTATTTTCAATTCTGTTCCATTGATCAATGTATCTTTTATTGTACCAATACCAAGCTGTTTTGACCACTGTAGCCATGTAATAAAATTTGAAATCAAGGAGTGAGAGGTTTCAGACATTCCATACTTTTTATGTGGTTTCTACCAACCAGTCCTGGTTTACAGCATCGTGGTTTACAAGTTGAACTGCTAACCATTTGGTCAGCAGTGCAATCTACCAGCCGCTCTGCAGGAGAAGGATGAAGCTTTCTGTTTCTGTAAAGATTTTCAGCCTCAGAAACCCTATACTGGGTCACTATGAGTCAGAACCAACTCTATGGCACACCACCACCATCACCAGCATGAACAACCAGTCCAGAAAACTGTGAATTGAGTGCTAGCATCTAATTTAAAGATTGAGGAAGGGGAGGCACCGAGAGACGTAAGTAACTAAGTAATGTGCCCATGTTGTTGTTAAGTACTGTCAGTTGGTTTTGACTCATAGCAACCCTGTATAGGGTTTCAAGGAGCCGCTGGTATGTGTGAGCTATTGAGCTTGTCATTCAAACAGACCTTACTGCCGAGTGCTTTATCCTACAGCACCGCACATAGCTCCTAAGTCATCAGATTGGCACAAATAACTCTGGGTGCCTTGAACTATTTCATCCTCCACAAGCCACCAGGTCCCCACAGCCCACAGTGCTCCTGACCCCAACCTTCCCTATAGCTCCTGAGCATGGTAGTGGAGCACAGGTGGACTGATGAAGGCATTTAGGACCTCAGCTTTCCTTCTGACCCAGGTCACAACAGCCTGGGCTAGTGGCAGGTTCCTGGGTTCTGGTCATACATTATTGCTAACTGTGTGCTCAAGTTTAAACGGCCATGTCAGCTCTCTTATTATTGTTGCTGTTGTTAAGTGACCCTGTATAGGGTTTCTGAAGCTTTAAATCTTCATGGGAGCATAAAGACTCATCTTTTCCCCACAGAGCCACTGACGGACTCAAACCGCACTTTGTGGTTCTCAGTCCAGTGCTTAATTGTATGGAGCCACCGCACTCCGCACCTTAGTTCTCTGGACCTCTGGAAAATGAATGGGTTGAACTAAGGTAGCCTCCAAAGGTCTTCCTGGCACTGACATTTCCTGAATGGGCTTAACTTGGTCACAGGATTGCATATATTCAGGGTGAAGGTGAAGGTCGGGAGGGGATTGCTGTAAAAATACCTTAATTTGATCAGTGTCCAACAATAGGAAGCAACCTCAGGAAATTAGCATGTAGTGAATTGGTTACACTATTGGCAGAGACGATTCTCAGTCAATAAGATATTCTTCTTCTTGGTGTGGTGCTGTGGGATAAGCATTGGACAGCTAGCCTCGAGGTCAGTGGTTCAAACTCACCAGTTAGTTGCTCCTTGGTCTATACAGGATCGCTGTGAGTCTGAACAGGCACTTAAAAAGAACAACATGAGAAAATGGGAATCCCTGGGCAGTGCAAATGGTTAATGGCGCTCAGCTGCTAACCAAAAGGTTGAAGGGTCACATCTACCCAGATACCTCAGAAGAAAGACCTGGTGATCTGCTTCTGAAAGTTCAGCATTGAAAACCCTGTGGAGCGCAGTTCTGCTCTGACACACGTGGGGTCGCTATGAGTCAGAGCTGATGTGAAAGCAGCTTTTTTTTTTTTCATTTTGTTTGTTTTTTTACTGGTTATGAGAAAATGAAAATGGATTAAGTAGATTTGCCATATAAGTCTTTCGAGAGATGTGTAGTGATTGTCTGTAAGATGTTTACAGGCTTAGTGGAAGCAGTTAACGGACCATTTTCTGTAATCGACTCTATTTTTAGTGCCCTCAAGGAGCTCATTTTTAAAGGGTCTGTGTGGTGAATCTTGCAATGCAAGCAAGCAGTCCCCACTATTTATATGTATTTTTATGTAGCTTTCTATATTTTAGAATGACTTAAAGCAAGTGTCCTCATTTGGGTGCACTGAGTTTTAGACATTGAATGCTTGTCTCAAGTCTCATGTTGAGTTTGATTCTTTTTTTAAAAACTTTTTATTGTGCATTGAATGAAGGTTTGCAGTGCAGATCATCACTTTTACATTGAACAAATCTTATACTTTGCTTCATTACATGTTTTCAGTCCCCTCCATGTATGAAAAGTTAACAGCATTTACCTGTACTCACTTTAACGATTACATTCCTCTCTGTGTCTCCCACTCCCTTCATCTTTCCTCTACTAACATCCCTGTTATATATTGTCTGCCCTGTCACCTATATCAACATGTGTCTGCCCTCTAACCCATAAATAGTCCCCCCCGACCCCCCCGCAACTCTTCCACCTTCCCTAGTAGCCATGATAAATTGTTTCTTTTCTATTTTTTTGTTTGAACAATGTCACAATTTCAAAGTAACAATGGCACACACCCTTCCCACCTCCCATCCCAAACCCTTCACTGTATCTTGAAGCATGAAGTTTTGAATATACTTTGATAATTTTTCTTTTGCTTGGATATCAGGGCTTCTCAGAGGGGCTGTAGCTCACCTGGGCCATAGTTCAAAAACAGCATGTTCTTGTTTTCTGTGGGGACCGTCCAGTCAGTTAGTGACCTGCCTACTCTTCTTCTCCCCTGTTCTCTGCCCTCAGCTCCCTGAGTCTGACTGCCGCCTGTGTTTGTATGAGGATGGCACCGAGTTGACTGGAGACTACTTCCCAAGCATCCCGGACAACTCTGAGCTGGTGCTGCTTACCGCAGGCCAGACCTGGCAAGGCTGTAAGTGGGGAGCCTCTACAGTGGGCAGGGAGGCTTGAGGTGCTGGGGGTTCTACACTGGGACAGGGGTTGGGGAGGGCTCTAAAGTTTAGATGTAAGGAAGGAAGACCTTGGAGTCCATGGTGGACAGTACCACACTTAGTTGGTCAAGTATAAGTCATCTTGCTGAGGAACTCACTTGTTCAGGTAGTTTTACATCTTTTTTGTTTTAAGATCCTTTATGTTTCTGTTCCCTCGGGGTGTCCTGTTGTGTGTCCATTCCAACTCACAGACATCTTGTGGGACAGAGTGGAAGTGCCCCAGAGGGTTTCCAAGGCTGTCATCTTTACAAAGAAAGCAGACTGCCACAGCTTTCTCTCATACAGCGACTGGTGGGTTCGAGTGTCCTAGTAACTTCCAAGGGCAGAATGGAGAGATTCCGGCAAGGGCCTGAGGAGTTTTGTGGCCAAGGCACTGTTCTGCCCTGCTATTGGGCTAATGCATCTTTCTCCAGGGAGTGGCAGGAGCTCATCTGATACTTGGCTGTGTTCTCTGATGATGCTTGCTGAGATGCTTTTCTCAGGACTTGAGTTGGGGGACACCCTTATCTGGAGGTTTCTCTGAGAAATAGTTTTTTGGCAATCTGCTACTATAAAAATTTATAACCTTGGAAATCCTGTGGGGTAATTTTACTCTGTCTTGTAGGCTTGTTGTGAACTGGACCTGACTCGATGGTGGTAGAATTTTTTTTTTTTCCTGTCTGTGTCTAAGACTCAGGGTGCAGGTCTCATCTTCCAGATCCAGCTGATGGCAAGTTCCCAGGCCTGTCACTTGCTCCTCATTCATGAACTGAACAGGGCAGAGCTGCTTAACCCTGCTGATGAGAAACATGGCTGTATGTCCCACCTTGCCACCTCAAGGGTCTTCTGAGGGGTCATGTGTCAGGAGGTGTGTCTGCTGCCCTAGGAAGGCAGTGGGCGCTCAGATGAATGGAGGTACAGGTTTTACGTCCCCCGCTGCAGTAACAGAAAGACAAGCCCAGGAGGGCAGCCCTTGTCCAGAGGCTGTCTGGTGGTGATTGATTGGAAGAGGACAGGCTAGGGCCTGTGCTGTCTGGCTAACTCTGTCCCTCTGCACCCATTCTCTGTATTTCTTGCTACTTCTCACTTTCTCTCTCTTTCTATCTATTAGTTTGTCTTCCTCTCTCCCCTGGGGCCATGGGTCCTTTTCCTTAATAGACTTCAGTCTTTTTCAAAATCATATTAGGTATTTTAGTTTCTTTGCCTCTCCATGTGAAATTTATTGCGGAGATGCTTTTCTCAGGCCTTGCCTATGTTGTTGTACTTAAGTGCCATTGAGTTGGTTGTTGTTGTTGTTAAGTACATGGTTCTGACTCATAGCAACCCTGTGTAGGGTTTTCACGGAGCAGCTGGTGAATTTGAACTGCCGACCTTGTTGTCAAGTGCTTATCCTACAGCGCCACACCAGGACTCCAATATTGCCTATATCTACAAAATATTCTGCTGGGATTTTGATATGAGTTGTGTTCAACGTGTGTATCAGTTTGGACAGAACTGATCTCTTTACTCTGTTGAGTCTTTTTATCCATGAACATAGTATGCTTCTCCACTTATGTAGACTATCTCTGATTACTTTCATCAGTAGTTTGTAGTTTTTTTTTAAGTATTCAAATCTTCTGCATGTTTTGCTAGACTTAAGCCAAAGTATTTTATTTTTTTGAAAAATTATAAATGCTACTTTATTGTAAATTTTGATTTAAAAAAGAAAAAAAGCTTTCTGTTGTGAATTGATTGAAGGTTTACAGAGCAGATCATCACTTCTACATCCAACAAATCATGTATTTCATTTCATTATAATGGTTGCAATGCCCCGCCTGTACCATCAGTTAACAGTCTTTACCCCTAATCACTTTCCCTCTTGCATTCCTCCTTGTGTCTTTTGCTGCCTTCATCTTTCCTCTGCCAACCTTGCTCTTGTTTTATATTGCCTTCCCCATCATCCATGTTAACATGTGCCTACCCTCTGTTGTTGTTCTTGTAAGTGCCTTCGAGTCGCTTCCAACTCATAGCAGAAACAGCTTTAAAGGAGCAGCTGGTGGCTTTGAACTGCTGACCCTGTGGTTCGCAGGGCTGATCCTACAGTGCCAAACTAGGAGTCTACCCTCTAGTCCATGAATAATCTTCCCTTCCTTGCCACCCCTGGTAACCATCTTAGAGTGGTTCTTTTATTAAGAAATGCAGTTGATGTGTGAATGCTGATCTTATATCCTGTGCCCTTGCTTAACTCCTTGATTAGTTCTACTAGTTTAGATTCTGGGAGGTTTTGTGTGTAGATCATCAAGCCATGTGTGTTAGGGCAGTTTTGTTTCTTTCTTTCCAGTCTATATGGCTTTTACTTCTTCTTTTTTTCTATTGCCCTTGTCTTGAAGATACAGCCTGGGCCTGGGTTCTTCTGGATGATACAGGTGCCTTATGTCATCTAGAAGAGGAGGTGGCCAAGGGCTAAGGATGGGCAAGATGTTCCTTATCCTGCCCCCAGCTGTGATGTGTGGCTGTCTGGGGTTGGTCCTTATCCTGCAGCTGGCCTGTACCCCAAGTAAAGTGTATTCAGATGCAAGTGCCTTGTGAGGAAGCCCCAATTTTCACTGAGAACATAGTTTTCATCTTCTACTTGTGAAACAGTTAAACCTTTGACTGCTAACCTAATGCCACTTTGAACCTACCCACTGGTTCTGCAGAAAAAGCCCGGGATCTCCTTTAAAGAATTTGTTGTTGTTATTAAGTACCACTGAGTTAGTCCCGACTTAATAGCGACCCTGTGTAGGATTTTCAAAAGGGTGACTGGTGGGTTTGAACTGCCAACCTTGTGGTTAGCAGTCTGGTGCTTATCCTACAGTGCCACGTCAGGAGTCTTTTTAACAATTGTAGCATAGGAGACCCCATGGGGGCAGTTCTGCTCGGTCACTTGGAGACACTTTGAGTCACAAGCTGACTTGAGGGCACCCTACAATAATAATAACAATAGCTGTCAAGCTGGTAGCGAGCTTGAGAAGATGCCGGACGTGCTGCTGAGTGCTAAGTGCTTCTGCAGGGGTCAGGACATTGGTGTGCTGCTCTGAGTGGGAGGAAGACTGCAGCTGAGATCTGAGTCACAAAGTCCCCACAGAAACTGCCCTCACCCCACTCTGAGCAGCACTGTGGGCATTTGGCACCTGCTGTTGGCTGTGCCCAGCCTCTGATGATGGCGCTAGGCACCGGAGGAGCCTTCCTTCTGTGCTCTGTAGGCGTCCCAAGGACTGTGTGTCCTCCTGTTTTCCTTTTCTGGTGGCAGATGCCAGTGACATCGGTCGATTCCTCAGTGTGTTTCACAAGCCACACGAAGGCATCATCCAGACGGCCCGGCAGTTACTCTCCGACGAGAAGTCTCCACTGAGGCAGAAGCTGCTGGCGGACCTCCTCCACAACCTCAGCGAGAACATCACAGCCGAGACCAGGGTTGAGGACCAGCCATGGTTTGAGGGTGTGCCGTGGACTCATGCTCGTGCGAGGGAGTCGGGTGGGGGCGTGCGCTAACGCAGAGCCAGGGATGCCAGGATTCACTGGATTCTATTCAATGACTGCTGGTTCCTGCATGGCTCCTCTGGGGATAGGGCTGGGGACCCTAAAGAAAGTACTGCTAAGTGGGGGCTTGGCAAGGACTTCTGAGCCTGCTTGTTCTACACAACACAGGCCACAGAGTCCAGGGCAGCCCTCGGCTACTCTGAGAAATGATACTCCTCTCAGAAAAAAGGGTTTGAGGTACCCACTGGGCAGATCCCCTCGTTGTTGTTTGAGATGCCCCATATGGGTACACCAGAAGAATCTGCCGCTGCTAAAAAGCAGAGATCCCAAGTACATCACTCCCAGAATCCTTCTCAATGTGAAGGAACTTGACCCTCTGCCTTGTCCAGCCCAGCAGAGCAGCACTTTTAGTGCCTGGGCACGCACAGACCACAAGGGAACCAGGCCTGCTCCCGTGGGACCCACAGAGGTCTTCTTTTCTTCCTCTCAGGTTTGGAGTCCCGATTTAGGAACAAGTCAAGCTATTTGAGATACAGCTGCGAGAGCCGGATCCGGAGTTACCTGAGAGAGGTGAGCCCATGTTGATGCCAGGGAAGCTGGGTGGTTTAAGAGGCTGCTTGCCCACCTCAGAGAGCTTCTCATCCCATGGTGGGGGCAGAAGTTGGCGGTGCCGTCTCCCTTGGTACTTGTGCTCACATTCTCAGCTTGCTTTGAAGAAAGAAGCCAGCACACTGCTTGCTTTCCCCAGAGAAGTACATGTGTTCACAGCTTTTGTCTACTCGGTTTCCTGCTCTGTTGTAGCGTGTAACTTCCATTTTCTTCAGTGGATGATGTGGGAGTCTTTCCTGGGACTGGCTCCCCTAGTTTGGAATTGTCTATTTCTAGAAGCTTCCAAGCCCAGCCTTTCTCCTCTATAGTTTTTGAGCAGAGCCAACCTTTGAATGCCTTCATCTATCTGGTTCTCCATTCTGAGATGATCTTACCCGTATCAACCTCTCTTCTCTGCCCACCATTAGCTCTGACTGATGTCTACACGGTTGGGTAGTAGCCTTTCTCTTGCTCAGACGTTCATTTATTTCCCTCTCCTGTGGTGAAATGAGGCTGCCTGACCTCCGGGAAGAATTGGAAAAGGCTGAGTGAAGTTTGTTGCATGGAATGCTTTTTCCAGGCTCTTTGAGTAATGGTTGGGTCTGAGCTCCGACTCTGTGGGCTAAATAGAGTCACTCCCCCCTGGTCTCAGAGATGTGAGAAAGAGACAGATGTGGATTTCAATTGGAAACGCTCCCCGAGGAAAGTGCTCTTAGCCTTCAAGAAGAAATCAGTCCTTGGGTCCATTGCCCCTAGTGTGATCTCTATTTGGCTTCCCTTTCAACAGAGAAATAGACCCAGTTGACAAATGAAGTTCAAAGTAAGAGAGAGCCATGGAGTGGGACCACTGGAGTGTGCCGGTGAATAGAGGGAGAATTGGACCCATTCTGGGGCAATTTAGTCGCGTGTGCCTTGCACTTCACCCGTAAATTGGGTTTTGTGCAACTCCTTTCTCATCTCTTAAAATGAGACGAGGGGAAGTGGGTGGGCTTGGGGCTGTCTCCAGAAGTGACTCTCTGGGCTCAGACCTTTGGACCTGTGAGCCACATGTTCCTGGAAATGTGCCTGGAACTAGAAGCCAAGCAGGGTGCCCCGCTGTGCTCTATCTGCTCTGGTGTTCCCGGGGCTCTCAGCTGCCAGTCCCCTGGGTGGTGTGGGAGCATGATGGTGGGGCCTGCTGAAGAAATGCTGAGGATTTCTTCAGCATTGCAGATAGAAGCTCACAGCACAGCCTGTGGGTTTCTGTCTGTCTAGAATGACTTCTGCCTTTTGACTTACGTAGTTGGAGGTGAACTATGAGACCATCTTTTTTTTTTTTTAATTTTTATTGTGAATTGAGTGATCGTTTACTTGGGAGAGCATCGGTTTTACACTCATCGTTTTTCATTGCAATGATTACAGTCTCCGCTGTGCATCATTACTTAGCAGTATTTCTTCTATTCCACCCCCCTTTTTTTTTCCGGGGGGATGTACACAAAAACACTCAGGATTATATGATAATTTAAACACCCAAAGTGCACATTCTGCAAATCTGCCTGCTGGCCGCCAGCTCTCAGTCCCTCTCTTCCCCTGAATCTAGAGTCCTCAGCTGCTCCCTCTCTCCATGTCTCCATCTCTGCCTCCATCTCTGGTGTCACTGCTTCTCTGGGTAGGGTCCCGTATTCCACTTGTGCTCTTCTCCCTTGATGGTCGTAGGGTCTTCTGTTTCTGGACTGTAAGATTAACCACTCCCCCATTTTTGTTATAAAACTCCTACCTTTACAGTTGTGACAGTCTTAATTAGTCATGATAACAATTACTCACTATTGAATCATAAGACTCTTATCCCCATCTCTTTTCACCAGACCCATCTAGACAAGATGAAAACTATTCATTGGGGATTTTGCCTTTTGCCTTCCCCACACACTCTGAAACTAAACTCCCTCTTGAAACTTTATAAGCTAGTCACTTCGTGCCTTTATAGCCCTCCCATTTTAGATAGCCAATGTCTTAAGTTGCTCTGAAGCCATCTTGATCCTCAGCTTTTCAGGGGGCACTTCCACACACTCCCTTTACCACCCCCCCCCCCAACTCCTTGATGCCCCCTATACCCAGCTATGCATCCGACCTTGATTTTAATTTTGTTTGGAGGAAACCAAACTCAAATCAGTGTGAAAGCCTGGTTTGGAGAAGAAAACGCCTCCTGGCACCCTATCCCTCACCACTGAATGGACACACACTGCACACATCCGTGCCGAGCACGCTCTCTCTTTCCTGGACTGTCTCGCAAGCGTCCCTGACAGCCATCCTGCTCGGGACTGGCCAACCTGCAGTTCCACCTTCCACCTTTGTGCTCTCCACTCACTCTGTGGGGCACCAGCCCCCGAGAATTCTGTGGCTGCTCCTTGCTCCTGTGGGACCACAAACCCCTCAAGGAGAGTCTGCAGTCTCTTTGCCTCCATGGACTCTCTCAGCCCCACACTCACTCACCCATGCGGTGGTCTTCACTGTTCCACTGAGTATGGTCAGCATGCCGGGTGGTGGCTTGTAGGTAGTGGCCTTGCCCACCTGCCTCTTCTCCAGGCACTGGGGCATACAGGGGAACTAGGACGTTGTCTCAGCTGTCTAGTGCTGCTATAACAGAAATTTATTTTCTCACAGTTTAGTTGTCTAGCCTCTCATAGGTTAGTTGTCCAAACTCAGGGTGACAACTAGAAAGCATTTCCTGTCATCTCTGGGGGATGGTCCTTGTCTCTTTTCAATATCTGTGGGTCCAGCACTTCTTAGAGATCTCCTTATGTCTTGGCATCAGTCTTCCTCTGGGTCTAGGACGTTCTCAGCGCAGCAACCCTGGGTCCAAAGGACATGCTCTGCTCCTGGCTCTTCTTTCTTGGTCGTCCTGAGGTCTCTTGTTCTCTGCTTTCTTCTCTCACTTCTGTCTTGTAAGGTTAAGGGTGATGCACGCCATGCCCCAGGGAAACTCCCCTTATACAGGATCAGGGCTGGGACTTGAATCAAGATGTTGCATCTCACCCTAGTCTTGCCTCGTTAACATAACAAACATAAAAGAATCCTCATTAGCAATAACAACAAAAATGAATCCTACTTCATTAACTACTAAGGTGCACCTGACCCAAACCATGGTATTTTCAATAACCTCACATGCATGTGAAAGTTGGACAGTGAATAAGGAAGACTGTAGAAGAATTGATGCAATTGAGTTACGGGGCTGGAGGAAAATATTGAAAGTGCCATGGACTGCCAAAAGAACAAATAGATCTGTGTTGGAAGAAGTGCAGCTAGAGTGCTCCTTAGATGGCTAGACTTCATCTCTCATACTTCAAACATATCGTCAGGAGGGATTAGACCCTGGAGAAGGATATCATGCTTGGTAAAGTGGAGGATTGGAGAAAGGAGATGACCCCCAACTAGATGGATTGACTCAGTGGCAATAGCAATGGGGTCAGGTGTAGCAAAGACTGTGAGGCTCCGACAGAGTTTCATTCTGTTGTGCATAGGGTCACTGAGTCAGTACCGATTCAATGGACAACAATAACTTCATTAAGTACAGGAAAAGATTAGGATTTACAGCACATGGAACAATTACGTCAGATCCCAGAATGGAGGACTATACTGCACAATACTGAGAATCGTGACCTAGCCAAGTGGACACCTCAGTTCTGGAGGTCACAATTTAATCCATGAATGTTACCCAGAATCGGAGTTCATTATCGATCCGTGACCAGAGTCAGCTGGGGCTTAAATAGCTTTGCAGGATCCAGGCAGACCTGGGATGTGGCCAGGGTCACCCCATTTTCACTTGGTCCTTCCTTTCACTAGTCCACCCCTCTGCAAACCTGTTCCCATCTTCTTGTGTCCCCTTGGCCACTCTGGCCTCTGTCTGTACTGCATCAGAGTTCCACCTTTTTCATCACGATACCACTAGCATGTGGAGGGGGTGTGACCTATCCAGCTGTTCCACAGGCTCAGCCCTGCTCTGCTCTGCTCGGGGCTCACCCAACCCTGGGGGCAGCGGAGTTGCTGCCATTTTCTTCAGGATCTCCTTGGTCTCTACAAGGACTTGGTAAGGGTCCTTATTCCCTTTAAACTCCTTACCTGGTTCATTTAATTTATACTCACGAGTCTTCATTCTTCTTTTCTCCAAATACAATGGCTCCTGCTCCTTCACATCACTGCTGCTCATCTGAGAACAGTCCAGCTACTAACACTTACTGGTGATGGTGGTTGGGTGCTATGGAGTTGGTTCTGACTCATAACGACTCTATAGGGTTTCTGAGGCTGCAGATCTTTACAGGAACAGAAAGCCTCTTCTTTCTCCCCTGGAGCTGCTGATAGTTTTGAATTGATGACCTTGCGGATAGCAGCCCAGCTTGTAATCCACTATGCTACGGGGGGCTGCTTACTCTCAACTTCGGTGCACCAGGTGTTATTAATAGAACGTTTTCATAGGCTCGGATGAATTTCCTAGGGTCAGACTGCCAGTGAGTGGCAGAGTGGACCGCTGTGCATAGTGTAGCCTCAGGCAGAGTATACCCCCAGGCATAGCATCTGCTCAGTTAAGATGTGGGGGGTGTTGGATGGCCCAGAGCTGGGTCTTCTGGAAGCAGTGCTTAGTGGACTCCTTGATTCCTCAGGTGGTGGCGTATGCCTCTGTGGTGAGTGCTGAGGCCCAGGAGGAGTACTCTCGGATCCTCGGCCACATGGGCCAGAAGCTGAAGTCCGTGCAGTACCATGGCAGCTACTTTGACAGAGGGGCCCAGGCAGACAGCCGCCTCTGCACACCGGAAGGCTGGTTTACCTGCCAGGTGAGCTGTGTGCTAGGCATGGTGTTGAATTCCTGACCATAGGGAGATTCCTGCATCGTAGGAGAAAGACACATGAATCATCAAAGGTGCAGTCAGTTGGTGCTGGAACCGGCAGTGCCTGGAGTAACACTGCCCGTCCTCTGGAATGCTGGGGTGGAGTCAGGAGGGCTGCAGGGAGGAGGCGACACTTGGAGACCTGAGCTTTGAATGGTTCATGGGGGTTGGTGGAGTGGGCAGCACCCCAGGCTGAGTTGGATTAGGCAGCGCTAGCTGGGGCTGGGTAGCATTGGGTGCTAGGCCCATGGGTATACTGGAGCACAGGGTGGCAGGGTGAGGAGGTAGCAGGCGGTGTGGTGGTCGATGAATGCAGGTGCTGAGTTGCCAGGAGCTGAGCAAGTTGAGCAGGGCAGTCCAAAGTCAGCGTCTCTCCCCAGTGACCCAGCCTCTGGATTATGCTAACGGGGGAAGTGCCGGAAACCACACGGAGTGGATGGAACCACATGGAAGCCACATGGAGGGGAACAGCCTGGCATGATGGTGTGCGATTGTGGAAGTGTTGTGAGGATGTGGACGATGCAGTGTCCCAGCGTGGGGACACAGGAGATACCAGGAAGGGAAGCTGTCAATTGTAGCAAATGACAGTATGCTCACGTGTGCCCGTGGGGAACTCAGATCATGACATTAGGGGTTGTTATTAGGTGCCCTCGAGTCAGTCTGGACTCATAGTGACCCTGTATAGGATTCCCAAGGTTGTAAATCCCTGTGGGCACAGAAAACCTCATCTTTCTCCTGAGGTGCCTTGGTTGGTGGGCTTGAACCACCAACCTTGTGATTGATTTACAGCCCAGTGCTTATCCGACACAGTCACCACTGGGGGACTGACTCCAAAGGCAGTATTCTTTATCCGCTAACAGCAAACGTTACCAGGGACTAGATGTTCCACTGGGCATACTTTCCAGTAGAGCTGTTTGTGTGACTCCCCACGTCGGATGTGATGGTGGCATCCCTGGGTGCTGCAAATGGTTAACCCGCTTGGCTGCTAGCTGAGAGGCTGGCATTTCGAGCCAATCAGAAGTGCCTTGAAATAAAGGCCTAGCGATCTACTTCCAAAAATCAGTCACTGAGCACTCTGGGGAGCACAGTTCTGCTTTGACACAGGACGCTGCCATGAGTCGGCATTGACTCCACAGCTGGTAGTGGTAATGGGATGGCGGAAGTCAGCGGGCGGCAGACTCGCTCCATGGCCTCTCACCGCTTCTCTTTGGCATCCAGGGCCCTTTTGATATGGACGACTGCTTGTCCAAACACTCCATCAACCCCTACAGCAACAGAGAGAGCAGGATCGTCTTCAGTACCTGGAACCTGGATCACATGTAAGTACAAATCACGGGAGAGCTTCAGTGAGCATTGCTTGTAAAATCTGTGATTGCGGGTCCCAGTGGTTTGCTTTGAACTGCAGTGGGCTCTGAAAAAGATCCTGCCCACAGTCGTGTGCCCTGGAGCATGCCCTGGCTCAAACCTTGATTCCCAGTGGTGAGGATGGTGGGTATCACAGAGCTGCTGGGAAGGGGGGGTCTTGCTGTGTACGTGTTTCAGGCTCGAATCAGGATGAGCTTAGTAAACAGTATTCTTTGCTGTTCTGCGGTGTCAGGCTTTTCTTGTTTAAATAGGATGGGCAGCTGTAGTTGTTGATTGCCATCTAGTCAGTTTCATCTCACAGTGACCCTGATAGGGTTTCTAAAGAGTGGCTGGTGGGTTTGAACCGCCGACCTTCTGGTTAGCTACCCAGTGCTTATCTATACCAGCACATCTTGACTAGCAGGGCTGTTTTTATATCCCTGTAAGTCCTGTGACAGCTCACTGTACCAATAAGGCCAAAATAGAACATTTCATTCCTTGACGATCCTTGTACCATCACCCCAGCTTTATGAAGACAAAGAAAGATCTTCCAATGCCCGTACAATGCCTGTATTACTTTTCAGATCCAGATTTTTGGTGAAAAATTACAAGCATTATATAGTTGAATTCTCCTTTTCTCCCTTCCTCTCCCCAGTCCCCTCTTTTTGTCTCTCCACATCAGCCAGGGTAACCGCTGTCCTGAAATTGGTGTGTGTGTCTCCTTCAGATACTTGTTTAAAAGATAATGGGATTTTTCCTGCAAACAATTTGAAGCCTCCTTGTACCTTTGCCATTTCCGTATGTATTCAAAACCTATACAAATGGTATCATATTCCATTACTCATTCTAATACTGCCCTGGTGAGTGCATATGCAGATTTGGTTCATTCTCTCTAGCATGTGTAGACAGTTTCTGTTTTGAATAGACTGTCATCTTAACAGCCATTTCTATACTGGGAGATAGGTTTTTTATAGTTTCTCACAACTGCAACAACTCTGACATGAACACTCTTCTGTGTCTGCTGGTTCCGGACTGTTGAAAGTGTGGCCTGCTGACCAGCAGCATCAACATCAACTAGGAGCTTGCTAGGGAGGAGGTTGTTCAGGCCTGGCCTGGGACCTGCTGCATCAGAATCATCACCTCATTCAGCTGCCCCCTAATTCATCCTCTGGGTGCACACTCAGCGGTAAGGAGCCCGGTCCCAGGGAAAGTACCTGGCCTTTTGGGCCGCCCCTCTCCACCTTCCCTACTGGTTCCTAGGCTCCAGTTGACATGCTCAACAGCTGTGTGAGTTCCCATTACCCACTCTCTGCCAGCACATGGTCTCCTACTTTTGTGCATTGTCTAATCTGATGGGCAAGAAACAGATTCACCTGCTTTGCTTTTCCTTTTCCATATGATGAGGAAGGCTGAGAATTGTAATCACAAAAGGAGCCATATGACATGCAGTGATGCTCAAAGATGGTCCCCTGGCTCTCCTGACCTACTGAGGGAGAGAGGGGACATCTGTCTTTCTACCAGATATCACCAAACTTAAAAAATCAAACCCCCTGCCATCAACTCCATTCTGACTCACAGCAACCCTCTATAGGGTTTCCAAAGCTGTAAATCTTTTTTTTTAAAAGCTTTTATTGTGAATTGAGTGATAGTTTACATGGGAGAACATCGGTTTTGCACTCATCCTATCATATTTCATTTCATTGCAATGATTACAATCTCCTCCATGCATCAACATTTGACAGTATTTGCTTCTTTCTATTCCCTCTTTTTTGTTTCTTTGTTATTTATTTTTCTTTGATTTAGGGGGGGATAGGTTTGATTTTGATGTGAAGCTTCTTCCCTCCCAGTTGGTATTTTGAGCTACTACATCCATTAGTATAGGTCAAGTTCATCAGATTGTAGCATTTTGTCCCTTTTTCTTTATATCAAATTTCTTTATCTAGAAGTGCTTTTATGATTTTTTCAAATAGGCCTTTTCATACCATTCTGCTCTTTCATTATTAGATTTCTTTTTAATCATTCATGCTGAGCAGATTTATTTGTGTGGTGTTGTTTTTATTTTTTCAGATTGTTTGAGCATCAGTGGTTCTTGTGGTGAGACTGTTACTTTTGCATTGATCTGGCTTGTGTTGGTGATGTCTCTTATGCTATTTGTAACTTTGACTTCTGAGTCATCTTCACTGGGATGTTTTTTGCGCCCCGTAGACATCCTTTGTACACTGGCTTGTCAGAATGTTCCTACAGAGTAATTTTGCATTTGCTTCTGCTAGAGGACTGTGTTTCAAGTGGTTCTGGAATAATTATATATGAGCTTCTTGCTTGTCGTTCCTGTACCTTGGTGGTGGTGTAAATTTGGACTGTATGCCCGTGTGATATAAGCCTAAGGCCCTGACTTTTTGCATGTAGTTGTAGAAGTTGGTTATGGTGGTGAAATAACTTACCTTATGGGGTCTTTTGTCTGGGTTTGGAAAAACAGCTTAGGACATTTTTCTTCCAAAGCCCTGAGGAGTTGTTACCTTTGCCTTCATTCTTTTTTCTTTTAAGAAGCAACCTGAAGGGGAGGAGATCCCAGTTGGTTTTCTACCCCTGAGAGCATTATGAGGGATTCCCGGGTTGATTGACATCTCCCCGATTAGTTGTGAACAACTAGACGGTTTGATACTTTCTGTCTGACCCTGGGCTGCAATCTACTCTGTGACTAGTCTATTTTACATACCTTGCAAGGATTGGTCAATTTGTTATGCAAGTAGTGGCTTGAAAATCTACCCAATAGGATAGCTCACCTAGGGGATTGGTCAGTTTATGAAGGCCAGGTCTTGAAATTGACAAAGGAGTGTGCTTGTACAAGCAGCCAACCCCACACAGGATTTCTGAAGGAAGAGAGAAACACAGAGAGAAAGGAGGTTAAAGAGCTGTAATATGGGTCAAGGGTTGTAACACTGAAGATGGTGAGAGTTCCAGCAGGAATGCTGAGGCAGCACCAGCGATGATGGCAGAAAACAGTTGTTGGGAGAGCAAATTGCTACTGACTATGAGCTGGGCCAGTTAGCGCTGGAAAGATAGATGGCAGGGGGCCAAGGCAGAGGGGCCTGAGTGCTTGCTTGGCTGAGCAGGGCCTTTCATGGCTGAGAGGGGGCATCTATGGCCAAGAGAAGGACTGGCGTGTAAAGCACAGAGAAGTTTCTACATGCGTTTCTAATAGGGGTCAGTTGATATCTTATTGTTTTGATTTGTATCTCTTGGTGGGGAGCTGTACAATAAGCACGGAACCACTAACTGAAAGGTCAGCGATCCACTAGCTGCTCCTTGGAAACCCTATAAAGGGTAGCTATGAGTCAGAATGGACTCAGCGGAACTTAACAACAACGACAATGGTGTGGCACTGTAGGATCAGCACTGGACTGTGAACTGCAAGTTTGGGAGTTCAAACCCATCAGTCACTCCTTGGAAACCCTATACAGGGTAGCTATGAGTCAGAATAGACTCAGCGGAACTTAACAACAACCACAATGGTGTGGCACTGTAGGATCAGCACTGGACTGTGAACTGCAAGTTTGGGAGTTCACACCCACCAGTCGCTCCTTGGAAACCCTATACAGGGTTGCTATGAGTAGGAACCCACTCAATGACACTTAACAACAACAATGGCTAATGATGTTGAATATCTTTTTATGTGCTTATTAGTCATTTGAATATTCGTTTTGGTATACCATCTACTTCAAGTTCTTTGCTCATTTTCTAATAGGGATTTTTGCTTTTTTGTTGTTCAGTTGTTGAGGTTATATATGCATTTTTGATGTTAGGACCTTATCAGATAAATTTTTTAACTTGTAGACTGTCTTTTTGCGTTGTTGATATACAAAAGTGAACTATAATGTTTTAAAAGTGAAATCTTGTGTTGGGCATTTCTCTGTGTTGTAGGAGAGAGGAATTGTCCAAACTGGTTTTGTTCACTGTCTTGCCTTCAAAAAGGTCCAATCAAGACCTTGAGGGAATCCGCTGGGCCAGTTAAATTCAAGGCAGAGAGGTCAGCTCAGAAGGTTATGGTGACTGTGTTTGGGACTACTAAGGGTTACTCTTTTAAATATATATGTTTTGTTTTTTTTTATTGTAAACTGAGTGATAGTTTACATGGGAGAACATCGGCTTTACATCATTGTTTCATTGCAATGATTACAATCTCCTCTGTGTGTCATCATTCATCAGTATTTCCTTCTGGTTGGGGGATGTACACAAAAACACTAAGGAGTCTATAATAATTTACACAGCCAAAGGGCACATTCTGCAAGCCTACCTCCTGGCTGCCAGCACTCAGTCCCTCTCTTTCCATGAGTCTAGAGTCCTCAGCTGCTCCCTCTCTCAATGTCCTCATCTCTGCCTCCATCTCTGGTGTTGCTGCTTCTCTGGATAGGGTCCCACATTCCACTTGTGCTCTTCTCCTTTGATTGTCTTAGGGTCCTCTGTTTCTGGACAATAAGATTAACTACTCACCCATTTTTGTTACAAAACATTTTGTTAAAAACAGTTGCAATTAGTCATGATAACAATTACTCACTATTGAATCAAAAGAATCTTATCCCCATCTCTTTTCACCAGACCCATCTAGACAAGATGTAAACTATTCAATGGGGACTCCATCTTCCCCCGCACACTCTTAAACTAAGCTCTGTCTTAAAAACTTGTAAGCTAGTCACTTCGTCCCTTTATTACCCCCTCATTTTAGGAAGCCATTGTCTAAGTTGCCCGTCCTTCTCTACCCTGTGTACAGAAGGGATAGCATTGATATTTAATGTGAAGACTCCGTCCCTCTCTGTTGGTATTTAGAGCTACTACCTCCATGAATATAGGTCAGGTTCATCAAACTGTGGTAATTTACACTTGTTCAAAAATGGTTTATCTTCCTCTAGTTGAGTTCTGATTATCAAGCCATCGAGGCTAGGTCAAATGGGTACTATTTGTAAGTTTGGGCATCTCC